GGGGGGGGGGGGGGGGGGCGGATGCAAGATGGGGAAGGGGTGAACAAAGGTTAACCTCAAATTCGGGAGTGGAACTCATCAATATATGTAATCTTGCGCAGAATTAGAATAAATGCACCGTCAGGCAGAGCGGATAAACAATTACGGAGCTTGTGAAGACATTAAACAGTACATAGCATTATACAATTGCATTGTCTGAGAATCATTGCACATTGTTGGTCCCTGATATTCTAAAAGTACCTGTAGGTCCCTGATATTCTAAAATCACCTGTGGGTGCCTAATATTCTAAAATTACCTGTGGGTCCTTAATATTCTAAAATCACCTGTGGGTCCCTAATATTTTAAGAGTACATGTGGGTCCCTAATATTTTAAAATCATCTGTGGGTCCCTAATATTCTAAAATCACCTGTGGGTCCATAATATTCTAAAATCACCTGTGGGTCCCTTATATTCTAAAATCACCTGTGGGTCCCTGATATTCTAAAATCACCTGTGGGTCCCTAATATTCTAAAATCACCTGTGGGTCCCTAATATTCTAAAATCACCTGTGGGTCCCTAATATTTTCTAGAAAACACCAAACTTTGTCTAAATTATCTCCTTCATTCTCATCCAACCTAAGAATAACAAAATGTTAAAAAAAGTTTAAAATTTTATTTTAAATTTCAACAAGTATTTCAAAGTTTAGGTTATAATATCATAAGCATAACTAAAGCATGGCATAAAAATTTAAGAAAACCTTTATTGGAATCAAACCAAATTCTTTATAAAAACTGACCCTGTACAATTGCCCCTGGGTGTTCCTTGTGAGTCAAAATCTAGAGCTGTGTCGCCCCTGTCACATCTACAGGTATTCTCATATTCTCTCCTCTCTCCAATCTGAAAATACAAAACATTTTTTTTTCATTCAAATTTTTGAAACCCAAATTGAAAGTAATTGATTTTTAGCTGTATAAGAAATATATCATTAATGCACCCCTGATTATACAAAGCATCAAAGGAAAGGAAAGGAAACCATTGAGCGACACTTTAAAAGTAGTGTGGCTTGAATTCTCGAGTTTCAGTCAAAATTTGTTTTCTTGAAGAATTTTTCATCTTTTAGGTCTAAGTTGGTTTAAATGCCACGAATATCTTTGAAAAGCGGGAAATAATTTGAAAAAGAAAAAGTCTCAATATTTGTGGATAACCCTGTAAGCCCAATATACTCAAGATACAGCTGCACAGGGTTACTCTCAAAACATGAGACTTAATAAACAACTTTACTGAATAATTTTAATCTTTATTGGGTCTTGGCAGCAACTTTTTTACTCTTTTCAAAATCATCCAACAAGCATTAAAATACAATGTTTTATACAGAATTGACCAAATTTAACCTTTAAATCTTTTTTAATGAGTTTTAGATCAATATCAAGTTTTATTCTTTGTGGGTAACCCTGAAACCACCAATATGTGAAAACTTTAACCTCTATAACAATAAGATGAGATGACTAGGACCCAGTAAATAATGTAGACTTAGTTTAATAACAATACAGATAGAACACTAGATGTCTTCTTTTCAAGATTTAGAGGTGTTTGTTCACTATAAGCCAAAAGTCCGAATGAGTTACGCGTATGCTTTCTCTCAATTGTGTGTTTGTTCTGTGACCGAAAACCCCTAAATCTTGAAAAGACGACATCTAGTGTTCTCTCTGTATTGTTATTAATCTATGAATGCAGAATACAGAATACAGTTACTATTCAATGCAAATGCATCAATAAATTGAATTTGGGTAAACCTTTTTTTTCAAAAAAAACTAAATTGTTTGGGAATTGAGTTTGGCACAGATTTAACAAACTACAGGGTGACCCCAAAAAACAGGGATTAGCGTTGTTGGGCCTCAATAATCTATTACATGTACTGGAGCACATTTTCGAGTCATTTAAGAAAGATTAAAAGGGCTGAAAAACGCCAATCACTGTTTCCCACAAACTTTCTACTTCATATAACTCTTCAACCCTGCAAATGTAGACCTTTGATATTTCAAACTTAGACTATTTGATCTAACAGAATCCATAGTTAGAAATATCAAATCTCTACAGCATCATGCTGCAAAGATGGGATTAAAAATAAGAGTTTGTCGCAAAGATTCATTTCTTTAGTATACAAAAATTGGGGCACCATGTAGTTTTCATCGGAAATTTCTTTTTACAAAAAAAACTTTTAAAGATTTTTTACCCGATTTCTGCAGACTGGAGCCGGGAAAAGTATCTCAGTTGGTTTTTCTAAAAAAGGATTTATTTTGATCAAATATTACAAAAAAGATAATGCTTCTTATCTAAATCTAAAACTGTTAAAAGTTATTCGCTATTTCCTATTCATCTACATTCTACAGTTAGGAAAACTTCCTATTACACATGTACAGAAAAATTGACACTTAATACGAGAAAATTTTACGTCATCAGTAAAGTCTCATCTTTAGAGGATAACTCTGAACCTAAATCAACTGATGCTGGTGCTATTAACTAGTTTGGTATAGATGTACCTTAATTGGTGTTAGGTATTTTCCCAAAGGCATTTTCTCAATGGCGACTTCCCAAGTGACAATTTCAAAAGTGACAACTTGCCAAATTTCCCAAGCGGCAACTTCCGTTAGGTTAGGCCCTCTGAGCCTTGGGAAATTGCACATTTGGAAAATTTTCACTTGGAAAAATACCCTTGGGAAAATGCCACTTGGGAAAAATCTTTAAGGAAAGTACCTAACATCCTGAATTTGAATGCTGGTATATAAATCAGTTTGGTATAGCTAAACCTAATTTAACTTCTGGTGCTATAAACCAGTTTAGTATACCTGTACCTGATTTAACTGCTGGGCTATTAATTAGTTTGGTATAGATATACCTAATTTAACTGCTGGGGCCATAAATCAGTTTGGGGATAGATGTACCTGATTTAACTGCTGGGCTATTAACTAGTTTGGTATAGATATACCTAATTTAACTGCTGGGGCCATAAATCAGTTTTGGGATAGATGAACCTAATTTAACTGCTGGAGCTATAAACTAGTTTGGTATAGATGTACCTAATTTAACTGCTGGGGCCATAAATCAGTTTGGGGATAGATATACCTAATTTAACTGCTGGGGCCATAAACCAGTTTGGGGATAGATATACCTAATTTAACTGCTGGGGCCATAAACCAGTTTGGTATAGATGTACCTAATTTAACTAATGGGGCTATAAACTATAGTTTGGTATAGATGTACCTAATTTAACTGAAGGGGCTATAAACCAGTTTGGTATAGATGTACCTAATCTACTTGCTGGGGCTATAAATTAGTTTGGTATAGATGTACCTAATTTAACTGCTGGAACTATAAACTAGATTGGTATAGATATGTACCTAATTTAACTGAAGGGGCTATAAACTAGTTTGGTATAGCTGTACCTAATTTAACTGCTGGGGCTCCAAACCAATTTGGTATAGCTCCTGGGACTGAAACATCAATACAAACTCCTTCCTGTATTGAGAAATATCTCTCATCGCACTCAACCCCTTAAATATTAATCAATATCAAAATTTATATTATTCCTTTTTTCTTATTTTTTTTATTTTTTTAAACATTTTTTTTATGACTTACTTGTTCCTGGACAGCCCTCGGCACAATCCCCCCAAGCATAATCAATTACAACACTAAAATATATTTGAACAATTTTGAACATCTTTGTTGTTTTATTAAGGTTAGTTTCCCAATAAACATCGAAACAGCGGATCCAATGGGTCAAAATTATGTATTATTATTTATCATGGTCATGACTCCTGTTCAAAAAAAAGTAACTTAAATATTTTTAGAATTATGAAAAAGAAAAAACCACAAAATGGTTTACTGTTTTCTTCAATGTATCTGTTAAAGAAAATTAAAATTATGAAGAAGAAAAAATCCCACAATCGTAAATGAATTTGTTCAATGTATCTGTAAAGAAACCGTTTTAGAACTAAATGTAAATTTAAATTGAGAAAAGGGCCTTAAGATCTCAGAGGCCTAAACTTTTGTGTGGAAATTTTTATTCTTGAACTCTTAGTCTCTATATCCAATGTGGACACTTTTAAGTTCAAGAAGCAATGCTTGATCACTCAATTAAAGTTATTCTTGCACGGCATAACTATCACGAGATACAGGGTTACCCATAAAGGATGATGCTTCAGAGACGACTGTACGGAATATTTGTTTAATCCATTTTCTTGCATTCAGTGTTCCTTGTAGGCTAAAACTGGCTTATTTCAGAGCTTAATCATTTTTTAAACCATCAAATTACTGATTGGAATGCAGAAATCAAAAATCAAGCTTCAAACCGTCATAAAGTTATGAGTGTTGGGTTGTTTTTACAGTCTCATCCTTTGTGGGTAACCCTGTATCCCTGGAATTAAATAAATATGTAGGTCTGCATATATTGCATAAGATGGAGATCAATGTTTGATCCTAAGATTCAAAACACAAAAGTTCTGACTTTAGTAAAGTTATATTTTTTCATAAACATATCCAGCTTCAAGTACAATTGTTTATATCTATATACAACATAGTAAAGATATATTTTTCATGTAAAGTAATCATTTACTAGCTAGACCTATCCGGCTTCAAGTACAATTGTTAATATCTATATACGAAGTAGTAAAGATATATTTCTCATGTAAAGTAATCATTTACTAGCTAGACCTATCCGGCTTCAAGTACAATTGTTAATATCTATATACGAAGTAGTAAAAATATTTTTTTATGTAAAGTAATCATTTACTAGCTAAACCTATCCGGCTTCAAGTACAATTGTTAATATCTATATACGACGTCGTAAAGATATATTTTTTTATGTAAAGTAATCATTTACTAGCTAAACCTATCCGGCTTCAAGTACAATTGTTAATATTATATACGAAGTAGTAAAGATATATTTTTTTATGTAAAGTAATCATTTACTAGCTAAACCTATCCGGCTTCAAATACAATTGTTAAAAGTTTATGTACGACGTAGTAAAGATAGTGTATACTTCAATAAAACTAAAATTAGGTATTTTTACATCCGTATGTTGTAAACTCACGAAGTTACTTGAAGAATCACATTTCCTTGGTAAAGGTCATCTTTAGTTTATTCTTAACGTATTCTGTAATACAGGGTTATTCAAAAAGAATTATACTTTATAGAGATGACTGTACGTAATTTTTTTAATCCTTTTTCTTATATGATCATGCATTCCTGCATTTAATAACAAGCTTCATTATCACCAAACCTTTTAGTAACACATTAAAAGGCAATGTCTATATTTACACTTTTTTTACAACTTTTGTATTGCAAATCTCGGGATAAAGCAATGATTTGCATCTTATACAGATCTACGATTAATTTTATTCCTTTTCTATATCCATTTATATTCATTTCATACCCTACAGGAATAACTTGAATTGGGGGATCAAGCATTGATCCACAATTTTAAAACTGCTCACGACACGTACATTGGATATGGAGATCAAGTGTTCAAGATTAACAATTTATCCTCTTCACACAAAAGTTACGATCTCTACAGACATTCTGACACGCCCTTTACAATTTCGCCATTTTTAGGCTTTCAATTTTTTTAACACTATACAAAATGATGACTTTTACTTTCCTCGAAACACTAAAATTTCCTTGAAATTTTTCACGGAAAGATAAATACAGATCTTTCAGTGTATAAATTTACCCGTCAGAGTCCACAGCTGTAGCACACCAGGGTTGTCTGGTGTCAGAATCCCTGAAATATAATTTCAATAAAATGTTCCCGCCAAATTTCTCCGCCATCTTTTTTTTTGCATAATTTTTCATTTAACACTAGCAACAACCTTTAAATAGGTCTGCAAAGACGATCAGGTTCAAATTTGATTTAAACTTGTTTTACATTTATGGTTCAATTTTCATAGGGCTGGGCAATATCTCCGTTCACGCATGATAGGATTTTGAAAATCAACGGAAGATTCGGTTTATTTCTTGATTTTTAACGAACTAAAATATCTGTGCATGAAAATAAATACGGAAAATAAAAAAAACGAACGGAAGCGTTTTAAATGAATCACGAAACTTGCATAAAATTAATGTTTTGGTGTTTTTAAATGTTGTCTTATGTTTGTTCCCTCACAGGCGATTTGTTAACATTAACTAATATATTAAATATTCATTGAAGACTGGCAAAATTAACGTAATCCAGAATATCGGTCGTTAACTCCGTTAATAAAATTGAGATCTAAAAAAACGATAACTTTAAGTAAGAAATGGGGAAAAACGTTTACTCTGCGGAACGTTCAGTTTTCAGCTAAGGGCAACCGAAAAACATAAAAATTTAGTTCGTTTTAAAATTTAAAATAACCGTTAACGGTTGGTTTTTTAAAAGTCTGAATGTGCACACTGCACTGTACTGATCTTATTTCTTTAACTGTGTTAAATTAGTTGTTTCCGTTAAAGGCTAATTTTGAAGCAGAAGCCACATTTAACGTCAAGAATGTCAATTCTAATAATTCTATAGATTAATGATGTCACATCCTGTTCAGACAACTATGGGATCAGGTGACGATCCCGCATTTTTTTTTATTTGCGTCGGGATTTGCCTGAAAAATCCTGACATTTTTAACCTATTTTCTCATTATCATAGTCTTGATATTTCAACAGCAGTGTAAAAAGTGTTAAGCTAATAAAGTTAATTACAATCTGATAAATAACATTTAAAAGATTTCACATAAAAAAAGATTATATACTTTAGAACCATGGTTTCAGCTTGAAACAGAAAACATTTAAGCTGCATTAATTATATTCGCAATTTAATCAATTCTGGATGATGTTTTAATGATCATTCAGTTATAGGCGATTAAATCAATACAATGAAGACGACTTTCGATTTTTCAATCTGTTTATATCAAGCTGTTACACAGTATGGATACACATAAACATTTGAAGTAAAGAAAAGCTGTCAATTAAAAAGCTTCTTTTTGATTGCTTGTAAACTTGCAAATTCGAAAAAAGCTTGTTAACAATCAAAACTTAAATAAATAAGTCGTCTTCCTTGTATTGATATAATCGCCTACCACTGTATTAACAAATACCATGCATTCATGTTATAAATTTTTGTATAGCCTTGTTGAAGACGAATTTAATTACGTTAAAAAATTCAATCATTGAAAGACGACATTTATTTTTAACTGGTGAAAAAAAAATCCGTAAATTATAAAAATTATTCCTACCTGGCTGTACACTCCGTATATGTCTGGTTTTGATAAGTAAAAGGAAATATACAAGGTAATCCACTATCTCCTACAGTGTTGCAGGGCACTAAACAGAAAGGGTTTGTTAATTATCTATATTTATAAAAGTAGTAATCTCTGTTTGTTTAGATGTCCGAACCTAACTCATATTTAAAATAGTAAAAAAAAATTTAAAGAAATATTTTTGGCCTTTTGATCGTTCTATCCTATGTCGTTTGACCCGGGGTTGTTCTATATCTGCGCATTATTCTAACAACATGATCGCTAGTTCAAAATTTACTCGTTCCATAACAGTGTAGGATAGATTTTAATCTCTCTATCTCTCTCTCTCATTCTCTTCGTTCATCGTTTATTTTTAACATTTTCTTAAATTCATTCCTTGTTTTTCTTCTACTGTTGACATTTCAATGTCACACCTAGTTCATTTTAATTCTTTCTATCTCAGATGTTGGTTAATGCAAAAGAAGATTTTTAAAAAATGAGAAAAAAATTTTATCCCAAAGTTTTTCAACATTATATTAGACATATATTACAAAACATTATTGAGAATTTAAGAGTCATGTTTTGAAGAGTCTCTTACAGCTAACAAAACTTGTAAAGGTTTAAAATCGAATAAAAAAGAAAGATGCCTTTAACTACTTATATATTACACAATTTTATTATCATTACACTTTTATTCTACACTGCTAGAATCCATTAAGTTGCAAAGATGATTGATAACGAAGATTATCCCTGCATGAGCTGCACCCTATAGGTGGAAAATGCATCCAAGTAAGCCTTAATAATGGATTTACGCAAAAACTGCATTCTCAACAATAAATCTGGTAATGCAACAGCAATATATAGTATCTCGCACAATTTTTAACTTATTCGTTATACAACATCATACACAACAATTGTACACCTTTAAACTTATGCAAAAAAAACTGGAAGGTGGGGGGTTTGTTGAAATTTGATCTTCAACTATTTCCATAGTAACATGAAGATGTTTATAAAAACCTAAGGTATTCGTGATGTTAAATCCGACTATACCAATTAAACCTTAACCTTACTCTTCCTTTAACCCCCCCCCCTCTGAGTCCATACAATTTAATAGACAATCCCCCCCCCCATTCAACCACCCACTAGGTTGTAGCCGAAACATATTGCAATTAGTGAAATAAGTCGAATATTTTGTATTTTTAATCTCTATAGATATACAGGGTGTCCCAAAAAACATGGGAATTCAGTGACGAATTCGATATCGTCTTTGTTATGAATTAGCATTGTGATACCTAATTTCAAAAGCCATTATATTATTATGTCTGCTAGAGTTTATTTTATGAAAAGGGTAAAAGACTGTAAATATGTGTCTATAATGTCTCCGCAAGATGAAGAGTGAATACGGACAAGTTTACTCTGTTTGTATTCTGCAATTTGCTTGTTTAACTAAGTACAACCGTATGCAGTCAAAACATAAACAAACAAAATGTGAACATAGCAGACGAAACTCTTACAGATTATAGCTTTCTCAGTATGTATCACTATACTATATCAAAGAATTAGTTTAAAAGACGATATCGAATTCGTCACTGAATACCCATGTTTTTTGGGACACCCTGTAGCACTAAAAGTAATTATGTATCTTTTCTTCTCCGACATATTATGTTATTTTATTTTTTTATATCTTTTTTGTGTTAAAGTTTAGTTAACATTTAAACTATTTCAGTTAGATACATATTGTATAAAATATCCAAAAAAAATATTTCTAATTCTGGTTCCGCGGCCAATAAAAGATAAAAGTATAAAATATAAAAAAATGGATGAAAATGAGTCTAACTCCAAAATTGAATCATGCTGACTTTCAGCCCGTGAAGTTATGATTAGTAGTTAATCAACTTGTTTCGTGAATGCGTATGAAATTGAATTTGCGTAAAAATATACGCAAATACGTTTGCAGCCTTCACGACCGCAATTACGAACGTGCATAAAATCATAGGAATGATCATAACTCACAACTCTGTAGAATTCACACATTTTGGGTGGCAAGATTTGCTAAAGGAATTATAATTGTAAACATTTTTTTCATTTTAATCAAGAATTAACTTTTATGCCTGGTTGCATTTTAAATTCAGTGAATAATTCAAGATTTTATTACAAATAAAAAATTGCAACAAAAAATGCATTTTTTATTGAATAAATGCATTAATCAAAAACATTCTGACAATTGAATCTAATTCACCAATCTTTAAGATAAAGATGTTTAAAAACGACGGCAGTTGAAAAAAAAGATTTTGACAATATATTTCAGCGTATTTTTACTTACAGCATGTTTTTAGGCATTGAAGCCCATCTCCACATTTGCCTGATATATCAGATGCTCCACCACACTTCTGCAGCTCAGCCTAAACCACCAGTTTAAATTTTGTTTGTGGTACCACAAGCATTAAAAAGAGTTGAAAATCACAATTAGATTATGAATTAGATTATGAATCACAATTAGATTATGATTATTATGAATAATATTTTTAAATCTCGAATGATTTTTTGTCGAGGACAATTAGCAACGATAGATCGTTATTCTGCACAATGATTATTTTCCCAAAATGTAATTAAATTTTGTAGATTTCGAAAATGTTGACCTTTGCGCATTTCATGCAGCAGCCGCACTCATCAAGGGCATAGAATCCACTGTCACAGCAAGTTGGGGGTTCAGGACACTTTAAATAACATTATTACTGATGAGAGAAAAATACAAAAAAGAATTAAGAAGAAGAAACACAGCAATTTGTGTATTTCAGTAATAACATTTGTTTTTGTTGAAATATTTTTTAAAAATGCAAATTTAAAATGAATTTTTAGCTCGAATTAGTAAAAAAAAAATAAAAATAAAATTATGATGCATACAACTTTTTTAACATTTGTAAATATTTTTTTTATTACTTTGAACGCACTGCCTAGAAGAAGGCATAAACAGGCTTGAACTTGTGGGGCTGGAAGCAGGAGGGAAAGTAAGACGACCACCAATAATATTCTCTATTTCAAGTCCGGGGATTTATTGAACAATTTTAGAAAAAATCTGTAAAAAAATCTTAACAAAAATAGTTTTAAATTCAATAATATCTTATGGGAACTACAACATTTTGCACTCTTTTGATCTTGCTAGTTATTCAACTATGTGTTTTCCTTCTCTTAATTAACAAAATACGAATCTGATTTTACAATAAATTAATTTTATTTATTTCAAGATATAAATCCCCGTTCCTGCATTTTTAGATTTGTGATTAAAATATGGTTTACTTTCTTAGATAAAACGATTTTACGAATTCTCTTTCATGAAAAATCGAATAAACTTAGAAAATGTTTAAACATCTATAATATGTCGCTATCCGCACTAAATAATAAAAATGGCGTAAATTATACATAAAGAAAAAGCTATAAAAAATAAATTCGACACTTATAAATTAGGACATTTTGTGTGCTTATCCAACATTATTTTTTGGAGGGAAAATCTACTTTTAAGACTTTTTGTTAATTTACAAACTGCACCTAATGCAAATTTTAAGATAAAGTAATATGCAGGACCAGAAAAATCAAGAACAAATATAATTTTCATTTTCTCTTGTTGTCATTTAAAACAAATCTATTTAATTTCAACCATATTTGTAAGATATACTATAGAATTTTAAAAGATAAGAAATCATGGTGGCTCTGAAAACTAAACTTCCATAACATTTTTGGATTTTTTAGTTTCACATTTTCATTACTATAATACTTGTTCAGCTTCAAAACCGGTAAATGTCTAAAATTTTCCAATGGAATTGAGTCTTTGGAACAAAATCAAGTATTTAAACCACAATATCTTTAGAACCCGTTGTTGTAAACCTTTGATATTTCAAACTCAGATTATTTGATTTAACAGAATTCATAGTTTGAAATATCTAAGGTCTACAACATTTGTTTCCATAGATATAGTGATTAGAAAATCAGAATTTGTGGCAAAAACTCAATTCCTTTTTATTAGTATATATAAAAATTGAAAATATGTTGTAGATCTCAAAGAGTATAAGTTTAATGCAAAAATCTCTTTTTTTAAACGGAAAACTCCGCTAACATTTTATTTTTGGAGAATTGAGTAAAAATGACAACTCGAAGAGAAACAGATAAAAGCTACAATTAATCTTTAAAAAATGAAGTGAAGGATCAAAATTCTCTAAAAAAAACTCGAATTTCAACACTTCATCATTTCCTATTTTTCCTTATTTTTAAATTGTCGTTTTTTGTAACATCGATTTTATCGTTCAGTTTTATGATCATTTATATCAAGAATATTTTGTTGCGGTTTTAGCCTGTCCCCTTTTATTTTAAGTTTGCGCCAAATATTCCTTGTGTTTGTGCAGGATACTCGACCTGGAGAGGGTTCAGCTCAACCCTCAACTTTAAACTGTTCTCATCCTTGTCTCAGGGTTCTACCAGGGAAACGGATAGATAGATAGCAAGGATGGGTGCATACTGCATGAGAATATGGCGTCTCAAAAATGAATTGTGCATCCTAGTTTTTAAGATCTACGAGGTACCCTGTATGAGTCCAAATATGACTATTAAAGATATAAAGTAGAATTTGTCCAATCAGATTTTGAAAAAAAATTTGATTTTTTAAAGAAAAAAAAAATGAAGAAAAATACGTTTCGAATATATTTCTAGACTTTGTTATCCCTGGGGTATTTAGGTGTTCCCTCAAAAAAATGGAGCCCATATTCAGTCCAGCTATAGCTAACTTACAAATAAATATATATGAGCGAAGAGCTAATTATTATAAAGATTATTTAGAAAAATGTAATTACTCCTAAATAAACTTTACCATGACGCCTAGTTTCATGACTGGTTTCACGTGACACCCCCCCCCTCTGTTTTCTTATTGTGATACAAATTAGTTAGTAAAAATCAAAATATTTATGCGAAATCTTATTATAAAGCAAAAAATGTGCACAAAAAATTGCACAAATTGCAACAACTTATACATTTTTAAAAAAGTCCTTGACTCAGCAAATTCAAATGTGCAAAAACATTTGCAAAATTTTTAAAACCTAAATGTGTATTTAAGAAAAACCGAAAATGTGCAAATTCCCGGTAAAGACGTCTGTGCAAAAATCTGTGCAAAATGTCTATCCAAAAATTGTTTAATTTGGTTAATGGCCTTTGGCATAGGCTTTCCAAAGAGCTATCAAATGTTGAAATCCAATAACTAAGATTTAGTCTGGTATAGGTAAAATAAGGCATTTAGGACTGAGGACTCAGGCAGTATGTATAAAAGCCCAGCTTTCAGCCTTAAGAGATGGGCATGTGTTAGTTTGAAAAGTCAGAAAATTTGAAATTCCTTGCTCAAATTGCCCCCCCCCCCCCCGGGTAAATATGGTTAATCATGGCAAAAGGGCAATTAAAAGGACTGACATTGTAATTTGAAATGTTCCTCCCTCCATCTAAAAAGCCACTTTTGCAGAGAAACAACAATTGAAAAAATTCAGCTTTCAGGAAACAAAAGCATGGGTATATAATTCATATTTGACTAGACAACGCTTTTAAGTAAGGATACCTCTGTGAATCGGAAATGCCTCTAGCTCTTTACAACGGGGAATACTTAAAATCTGTACATGTTCCCTTAAAATCTGTACATGTTCCCTTAAAATCTGTACATGTTCCCTTAAAATCTGTACATGTTCCCTTAAAGTTCTAATCCACGAAGGCCAAATGTAACTTTCATAATTTAAGAAATGAATTTTTGAAGACGGAAAAAGTTTCAAAATCAATTTAGGAAAAAGGGCTATTTTAAAAACAAATTTTGTTTAGGGTTAGCTTATCCCTAACAGTGGAGGCTAAATCTATATTTGCAGCCCCAGTTTAGGTAATTCTCATCGAACAAGAGGTAAATATCTGAGGTCAATGACCTTCATCTTGAAATGTGAGATATAGCCTAAATCTGGGTTTATGAAGGTCAGTCAACTATATTCTTGATCATATGTACATAAAGATTGTTATAAGCCTAATGCCATCCTTCTATTTTAATTGTTCAACGCGCGCGCGCAATCTGCCAAAGTAAAATTCTAATTTTTTAAAGCTATGACTTAAAGAACCCCATTGAGAATTTGATAAAAAATGAATATAAGAGCATACTAATATTAATATTTTAGACACCCTATAAGTGATGAACACAGACAGACGTTACTGTTGCGACGCTTAATCTATCCCTGCTATCCCTAACAGACAGACAGTAAACCAAAGAGAATAGAATATATATTAGAGGGTTTACTAGAAAAAAGTGTAAAACGTCCATTTTATTGTACTGTTTCCATACTGCAGGTGTACTTCACATATTTATGCTATATAACCTTTTGGGCCCTGGAATATCATTTTATAGAAAATCTAAAATTAATGTTAAAAGAAAACCAAATAATGAAATAGGCTGGTTTCATAATTGACCAATGATCATTTCACATAGACTCTACGCCTTCCACTTTACAAACGATGATTTTCAGTTATAACTATAAATCAAATGATAGTTTTTATTCACCTAATTCATTATAAAGTTTATTTAACAGCTTTAAAAGTTTCGAAATTGAAATGAATAGTCAAGGGAACATACTGTATTAATTAATTCACATAATTTGTGAACATTTACATGATTTGTACACTTTGAACTCCCTTTCAGGCTGAAAGGGACTGAAAAATTCATACCGAGGGATTGTCTAAATTCCACTCTAATATTTATTCTATTCTCTTTAAGTGATAATACATTTATAATGTGGTTTGTACATTGTCCAATTAAAAACTACACCATTTAAATATGTATTTATATCTTTGTGTGTGAATAAATCTTTATAATAATAATAAAAATTAAAAACGGTCCCTTTAAAGCTTTGTCTGATCAATTACAGAGAGAGTCAAAAAAAGTGTGATTTGCGGCGCCTGGTACAAAATTGTACCTTTTTGTGCAACTCTCCTGAATGGTGTTTTTTCAATATTATTTGAAAATTTGTAATATTTTTTGGTACTCCAATGGTCCAAAAAAAATCCGCGAACTTTTTTTTCTCTCAAAATCAAAAGTTCAGAAAAACAAAAATGTGTAAATAAATTATTTCCATCGAAATCTAAAATTTTAAAAAGATTGAATTCGCAATTTTTAGTTCTGCAGTCTAATTTTTAAGGATAAGTTATTTGAATTCTCTAGTTCCTTTCTTCTTAGTATATTCTATAGTATTAAATATACGTTGTTCATTTGAAACCTTAAGAACCATTAAAAAACAATTTTTCCGTAAAAATTAGACCAGAACTGAAAATAACGAATTTTCTCATTACAATTTTGCAAATTTTTTGCGATTCTGTGATTCAATCTTTTTTAAAATTTTCAAATGGTTCCAGAGTTATGATCGTACATACAACAAATAAGCAAAAATCCAAACAGACAGACAAAAACACTACTTTAGATATAAATATATAGATTAGTAGATAAGTAGATATATATAAAAGTAGATTACATAGATTATAAATAATCTTTAAAAAGAGACCTTTAGATGCATTAAACACTGATAATCATGATTGATGATAATTATTGTTTAACAAGAAAATAATCTTCTTATAAATCTACAAAATGCAAAATGTTTAAAGGGACTAACGTTGTCATTTCAAGCGAGACTCCATTTTCAAAGGGACATGGCCGATTTACATCTATTTCTCTAGCATGGAAAGTGTTATGGAAAGTGTTTAATTCTAACAGTTTCCTGCTTTTTGCTAAGGACAAATCCGCAGGTCACCTGCAAAGAGAAACCACAATAAAAGATAATAAATCTTCAAAGAGAAAACATGGATATCTCATTTATTCTTGTTCATTGTATGAGTACCGAGTAGTTTAAAACTGCAAGTCACTTTCAAATATAAACAACAATTGAAAATAATTTGTTTCGAAAAATTAAAACGTGAATATCTCAATAAACATCAAACAACAACAAACTTTTATGAGTGTATTGTGGTTTAGACAGTGCCACTTTCTTTTTGTATTAAAAGGTCACTTTAAATTGCGTTTTCAGCCACTTTAATGCTTTATATCTATCTATAAATTTGGCTTGTCTTTTTGTCTGTTTGTTTGTTTGTCTGTTTGTATCCAATAAACGTCAAAACGGCTGAACCGATCGGGCCCAAATTTTTTGTGGGACATCTAGGGACCCCAGGGAAGATTATGAATGATTGAAATTTTAAAAATTTGTGTTTTAAAGGTTTTTAATTTTGTAAAAAAATTTAAATTTTTGAAAATCCGCGAATTTTATTGTCCGCAGGACATGATCGGGGTTTTACGATCAAATCTCGGATTTTTTTATTATTGCGAAGATTTGGTGTTG